CCCGTCTTTTATGCAATGTTTTGTGGTAACATGGCTGAAACCAAAGAGTACATTGATCTCCCGGACTGTGATTTCGAAGGTATGCTTGAACTGTTGCGTTATATCTACACTGATGAAGTTCACCTGAATGGAAACAATGTAATGGAAGTGTTGTATCTGGCCGAGAAATACTTCATTCCTAGCCTAGCCAGTGAATGTACTGATTTCTTAGGAAGGAATCTAGATTTTTCAAACCTCTTTTGTGTCTTGCACCACGCTCAACGCCATGAAAAGAAAGATCTTTTGCGTTCTTGCTGGGATTTGATTGACAAAGAGACGGAGAAGGCCTTGAAATCAAGCGAAGTTATGACTGTGGAGAGATCGATTGTAGAGCAGTTAGTGAAAAGAGTGACATTGAATGTCAGAGAAGTGGAGTTGTTTAAAGCCGTAGACTGCTGGGTAAAAAGAGAATGCAAGAGGAGAAAACTTGAAGAAGCAGACTCCGTCAAAAGACAAGTCCTCGGGGAGGAGATCGTAAAAAACATTCGTTTCCCAATCATGACACAGAATGAATTCATGGATGTTGTCCCTAAAAGCAAGATATTAACACCAGAAGAGACAAACATGATAATCAACTATTTCAGTGGCACTGTGACCTCAGCAGTTGGGTTCCTTCATGATCATAGGTTGGGTCCTCCTTTACGATGCTGTAGATTCTTGGGTTTTAACCATCGCAAGTACATTGATGCTGAACTTGGCATTGACGACTGGCTGCCATTCACAATTGACAAGGCCATAATGTTGCATGGTGTCAGTCTTTTAGGCAATGATGGTGGAGAATTTGCAGTGACCGTGCAAGTGTCATTTTTTGCCGATCCAGAAGATGATGAAGGTGATGATGGTGATAATGATAATGACAATGATGAAGAAATAGTTATTGCATCCACATCTGGTACTTATATTTCAGGGAGGAGAGAGAATGGACAAGAATTTCATTATGGCTATGATGTTAAATTTGATGAGCCAGTTGATTTATTTGAAGATTTTCTGTACTTCATTAGTGTAACAGCAGATGGTCCTGGTCATTGCCTTGGAGGAAACAATTCTATTCCGGTTAGCATTTCAGGAGTTGAATTTAATTTCAACCCTCATTTGGATGAAGATGTGCCAGATAGTGTGTGTGCAGAGCTCTTATTCAAGGTCACAGAATGATTGTAAAAGTAATAGAAGGATGATTTACCTCTTATTACAGTGTAACCAAGCAGGAGGTCTGTATGGGAGAATCTTGATCAAGGGCGTGAGTACAAACCTTGACCAAGGGCATGAGTACAAACCGAATGCAATGAGGTATGTACACATGACCGAGATGAAAATTCTCCCATACAGACGGACTAAGCTTGGTTGATAAGATGTTTATTATGTGGCCAAACAAGAAAAATTTAAGCAATTATATGAAAGATCATATACTTGAACTGCGGAGAAGGATATGAAGACAAGATTGATCATCGCAGTATTGCAGATTGATGAACTGATTGACTAAAGCAGATTGATTGATTGATTGATTGATTGATTGGTTGATTGATTGATTGGTTGATTGATTGATTGATTAATTGATTCAATTCATTGATTAAAGCAGATTGATCATCATCAATCACGTCTTCATATCTTTCTCTGCAGTTCAAATATATGATCTTTTATATATTCACTTGTATTCTTCACATCTATGGGTATATTACGAACTCACAAAGTGACCAGCTCCCAGTTGGCTTGATAGCTCAGTTGATAGAGCACTGCACTGGTATGGCAGAGGTCATGAGTTCAAATCCCATTCAGGCCTGAATTTTTTTCGGGCCTTAATTTCAAAACTGCTGAAGTTGTGTGCCTAACTGTGAAGATCAGTCATGTCTTCATATCTTTCTCCGCAGTTCAAATATATGATCTTTCACATATTCACGTGTATTCTTCACCATCTACGGATATATTTCAAACCCACAAAGTGATCAGCTCCCAGTTGGCTTGATAGCTCAGTTGGTAGAGTACTGCACCGGTATTGTAGAAGTCATGGGTTCAAAACCCGTTCAGGCCTGAATTTTTTTTTTTT